GGGCTTTCAGTGTTCAGCATGAGTTTCGAGTGGTGAAAGAAATGTTTGGCAAAACAAACCGCCATATCACGTAATGACAAAACAGAATTCTCACCTAACGAGGAACAATTTTGCGGTAAGTACGATCACGTGTATATCCAGATACCGACTAGGATACTTTAATTACGCCATCTCTTATTTTATGCCTAAATAAATACATAAATAATTAAAATCATAATGATATGTATTAATATGGTTATCAATGATGTCAAATTAAGCAGTTGAATATCAACAACTTAAAATTTGATCGATATGACTACGAATACGATTTGATTGCTAATAAACCTACTCCGTCGAAATACGTTAACTGCTATTATATGTCAGTAATCTAGACACACAAAGCACCGCTTGTCACTCGTTGTAAATGCAGTGCTTGACAAAGTCACTTAATAAATGCACATAATGTTAAAGTCACGTAGTAAATACCCTGCATGACACATTTCCGTCATGTTTACACTACTTCTCTGACTCCCCTCGTGTGAACGCACCTCTGATCAAAGTCACGCCATGCACGTGATTTTAGTTTCACGTCATTAATACTCTTCTTTTCAAAATCATGCTGTAAATACACTGCTTGCTAGACTCACGTCGTCGATACTTTGCTTGTCAAATTCACGTCAGGAATACAATGCGTCTCATACTGACGTCGTCAATACACTGCAAGTCAGCGTCACGTCGTAAATACACTGCTAGTCAGCGTCACGTCATAGATACACTGCTAGACAACATCACGTCGTCATACACTGCTAGTCAACGTCACGTCGTTAATACACTGTTAGTCAACGTCACATGGTAAATACACTGCTAGACAACGTCACGTCGTCAATACACTGCTATTCAACGTCACGTCGTTAATACACTGCTAGTCAACGTCACATTGTTAATACACTGCTTGTCAACGTCACATGGTAAATACACTGCTAGACAATGTCACATCGTAAATACACTGCTAGACAAGGTTACATGGTAAACAAACTGCTAGACAACGTCACGTCGTTAACAAACTGCTAAACAACGTCACGTCGTAAATACACTGCTAGTCAACGTCACGTCGTATTTACACTGCTAGTCAACGTCACGTTGTAAATACACTGCTAGTCAACATCACATGGTCAATACACTGATAGACAACATCACATGGTAAATACACTGCTAGTCAACGTCACATGGTACAAATGCTGCAAGACAACGTCACATCGTAAATACACTGTTAGTCAAAGTCACATGGTAAATACACTGCTAGTCAACGTCACATGGTACAAATGCTGCAAGACAACGTCACATGGTAAATACACTGCTAGACAGCGTCACTTAGTAAATACACTGATAGTCAACATCACATGGTACAAATGCTGCAAGACAACGTCACATCGTAAATACACTGTTAGTCAAAGTCACATGGTAAATACACTGCTAGACAACGCCACATAGTAAATACACTGCTAGTCAACATCACATGGTCAATACACTGATAGACAACATCACATCGTAAATACACTGCTAGTCAACGTCACATGGTAAATACACTGCTAGAAAACGTCACATAGTAAATAAACTGCTAGTCAACATCACATGGTAAAAATGCTTCAAGAGAACGTCACATCGTAAATACACTGCAAGTCAACGTCACATGGTAAATACACTGATAGGCAACATCAAATACACTGATAGGCAACATCGCATGGTACAAATGCTGCAAGACAACGTCACATGGTAAATACACTGCTAGTCAACTTTACATAGTAAAAACGCTGCAAGACAACGTCACATGGTAAATACACTGCTAGACAACGTCACATAGTAAATACACTGCTAGTCAACATCACATGGTAAAAATGCTGCAAGACAACGTCACATCGTAAATACACTGATAGGCAACATCGCATGGTACAAATGCTGCAAGACAACGTCACATGGTAAATACACTGCAAGTCAACGTCACATGGAAAATACACAGCTAGACAACGTCACGTCGTAATTACACTGCTAGTCAACATCACATCGTAAATCCACTGCTAGACAACGTCACATAGTAAATACACTGCTAGACAACGCCAGATAGTAAATACACTGCTAGACAACGTCACGTTGTAAATACACTGCTAGACAACGCCAGATAGTAAATACACTGCTAGACAACGCCACATAGTAAATACACTGCTAGTCAACCTCCCATCGTAAATACACTGCTAGACAACGTCACATGGTAAATACACAGCTAGACAACGTCACGTCGTAATTACACTGCTAGTCAACATCACATGGAACAAATGCTGCAAGACACCGTCACATCGTAAATACACTGCAAGTCAACGTCACATGGAAAATACACAGCTAGACAACGTCACGTCGTAATTACACTGCTAGTCAACATCACATGGTCAATACACTGATAGACAACATCACATCGTAAATACACTGCTAGTCAACGTCACGTTGTAAATACACTGCTAGTCAACTTTACCTAGTAAAAACGCTGCAAGACAACGTCACATGGTAAACACACTGCTAGTCAACGTCACATCGTTAATACACTGCTAGACAACGTCACGTCGTTAATACACTGCTAGTCAACGTCACGTTGTAAATACACTGCTAGTCAACATCACATCGTAAATACACTGCTAGACAACGTCACATGGTAAAAATGCTGCAAGACAACGTCACATGGTAAATACACTGCTAGACAGCGTCACATAGTAAATACACTGATAGTCAACATCACATGGTAGAAATGCTGCAAGATAACGTCACATGGTAAACACACTGCTAGTCAACGTCACATGGTAAATACACTGATAGACAACGTCACATAGTAGATACACTGCTAGTCAACATCACATGGTAAAAATGCTGCAAGACAACGTCACATAGTAAATACACTGCTAGTCAACTTTACATAGTAAAAACGCTGCAAGACAACGTCACATGGTAAATACACTGCAAGACAACGTCACATAGTAAATACACTGCTAGTCAACATCACATGGTCAATACACTGATAGACAACATCACATGGTAAATACACTGCTAGTCAACGTCCTATTCGTTAATACACTGCTAGTCAACGTCACATGGTAAATACACTGATAGACAACGTCACATAGTAGATACACTGCTAGTCAACATCACATGGTAAAAATGCTGCAAGACAACGTCACATAGTAAATACACTGCTAGACAACGTCACATAGTAAAGACACTGCTAGACAACGTCACATAGTAAATACACTGCTAGACAACGTCACATAGTAAAGACACTGCTAGACAACGTCACATAGTAAATACACTTCTAGACAACGTCACATAGTAAATACACTGCTAGTCAACATCACATCGTAAATACACTGTAAGACAACGTCACATAGTAAATACAATGTTAGTCAACATCACATGGTAAAAACGCTGCAAGACATCGTCACATCGTAAATACTGCAAGACAACGTCACATTGTAAATACACTTTTAGTCAACATCACATGGTAAATACACTGCTAGACAACGTCACATAGTAAAGACACTGCTAGACAACGTCACATAGTAAATACACTTCTAGACAACGTCACATAGTAAATACACTGCTAGACAACGTCACATAGTAAAGACACTGCTAGACAACGTCACATAGTAAATACACTTCTAGACAACGTCACATAGTAAATACACTGCTAGACAACGTCACATAGTAAAGACACTGCTAGACAACGTCACATAGTAAATACACTGATAGGCAACATCACATGGTACAAATGTCACATGGTAAATACACTGCTAGACAACGTCAGATAGTAAATACACTGCTAGTCAACATCACATGGTCAATACACTGATAGACAACATCACATGGTAAATACACTTCTAGTCAACGTCCTATTCGTTAATACACTGCTAGTCAACGTCACATGGTAAATACACTGATAGTCAACATCACATGGTACAAATGCTGCAAGACAATGTCACATGGTAAATACACTGCTAGTCAAAGTCACCTGGTAAATACACTGCTAGTCAACATCACATGGTAAAAACGCTGCAAGACAACGTCACATCGTAAATACTGCAAGACAACGTCACATGGTAAATACACTTTTAGTCAACATCACATGGTAAATACACTGCTAGACAACGCCACATGGTAAATACACTGCTAGTCAACATCACATGGTAAAAACGCTACAAGACAACGTCGCATCGTAAATACACTGCTAGTCAACGTCACATAGTAAATACAATGCTAGTCAACATCACATGGTAAAAACGCTGCAAGGCAACGTCACATCGTAAATACTGCTAGTCAACGTATCATGGTAAAAACAATGCTAGTCAACGTCACATCGTAAATACACTGCTCATTAGTCTCAACTCATGAATACATTTCTTGTCATACTAACGTTCTGATACACAGATTCGTATTGTCGCGCTGTAATAACACTTATTGGAAGGGCCTTTTCATAAAAATAGTTGCTTGTCTACAATGTCATACATGTGATGATTTGCATGCATCCATTTTTGTCAACCAGCTATTGCGCTAGAAATGATGATCTGCAGTTGGTTAATATGTTGTCGTTGGTTGAACTAAATGACTTTCACAATGCTATGTAAATTGCTATCAAATCCCGGAAATTGTTCTTTAAAATACTTAACCATCAAAAATGTCTCTTGCCCTGATAAAATGCTATTATCCCATGTGAAAGCTAATAGCCATGAGTTACTTAACATTGCAAAAGTAAAGAGCAGGTCCAGGTTATCATGTATGTTCTTGCTCAATGGAAAGTTTAGTCGTTCTCCAAACGGCTCGTCGGAGGAGATTTCCGTATCTAATCACAAGTTGGCAGGAATCGTTATAGACAACAATTACCCTATACCACCACAAGGAATACTTCATCAAATATACCACTGTACATTGAGGTTAAATTTAAATAAGTTTTTATTTTCAAACTTCAAAGCGAAATTACGCATAGCATTGGACTCAAAATCAAAAACCTAAAGTCAAGAAACTTTATTTAACGTCGCATACAGGATAAACGTAATAATGTGTACTCTGGAGTGCCATTCATACGACAATCATGAGCACAATTTTATTTATGCATTTACGATCTGCGTTGCATAAAACTCATTGCATTACACGAATAACATTTTGTTTAAAATGTCTATAAAATTCACACTGAAATATGTAAACACCTGTTGTTAACCCAAGGGGGACAACTCACTCACATTTTTATGTCAGAAAACACATAAGCAAGCCGGCAGAATAGTATCAAATTTCAACCAAAATTTTCCTTTTTTCAAGCTGTTCTATTCCCGAGAAGCCTCAAAACTGAAATATCTTTTAACATAAGTGGAGGTGTTTCGATATATTGACCAATTTGTCTTTTCTGACTCTTCCTTCCTCTCTACAAGGTTTTGTTATAGAGATATTGAAATACACTTAACCCCCCGAAAAGCCCCACGTTCTAAGCCTTCGATTTCTAACGACCTAATACTATTATTTGTTTTTCTGCCAGTATGAAGCGCTTGACATTTCTAAGGATTTGACGTTCGTTCCATTATACATTGAACCAGTTTATACGATTTTTCTCTTTGAGAGCTTACTGCCGTCAGCATGATTATATAAAAAAAACTTTTCTTACGAAAGTAAAAAATGTCGCTAAAAGAAATATCATAAATAAGTGCCCCAATAAGGGACATTTTGGGTGAACACATCCTTCCTCCTCTAAGCCGATTCGTTTGTCTCGAGCAGCAGTCTGACCTTCTGCTGCCTGCCGTCTAGGTAGCTGCTCAAGAAGTCTCTAGCTGACTCACCTAGCGCTGCTTCCCAAGTAGCAGAATGTTGAATATTATTTCTAACGTATCATAAATTATAAAGGTTGATCAACCTGGATTCAGACTTTTTATCAGAAAACGTTTTAGATAAGCCGTGCAGCAGGTTTCTTAAAACCGATCCAATTTTTCAGTATTAACTGCAGCTTCATTTCATAATATTGGTAGAAAAAACCCGGAATGTAAATATTATGACAATGCTGTATAAGCAATGCATTCCTCCTGATAAACATTTACTAGCTTCTATAGCCAAAATGTTGGTGCCTTATATATACTCAAGTTAATAATCATCGACAGGGAAGGAGTGACTGCTCCGAGAGAGGTGGTCATTGATCAGGTACACATTTGGATAACGTGCCTGTGGTTCCTCTTGGACGGACGGAGAGTTTGTTTAAATTCAATAAAGTCGATATATCCATCTGTTCTACTATATGGGTTTCGTGGGAATACGGTAAGTGTTTATATCAATGCACTGCTAAAATACAACGGCGATCGAGGATTCTTACTGCACCGATGGTATTGTCGATTTTGTTGACCAAAATAAAAATAATTTAGAAAACTAAGGTGTTTCCGAAGCGTTTATTTCCAATTTACATTACTGGTTATAAGATATTTACTTGAAATATAAAAATGTTCTACATGAGAAAATTCGTTTCCGATATTAATAACTTAATAGGCAAACTGCTTGTCACAGTGTAAACCTTCTGTTTACTTAGTACCAAGCTAGAGACCGTGACTAGCATTAACCAGTGCTACACTTTATCTGCTTGTCGATTGCGACTTAAACTTTTTCTTTTACTTTTTCATTATCATCGCCATTCTATTGTTATCATACGCGTATCCAGATTATACTTAACGGAACTATTGCATGCAGGTATAACTCGAGTTTGTTCATGTTTCAGACATTTAAGTAAGTAAATGCGTTTGTTTGTTTGTTTGTTTTTTAATATATACAAAAGATCTACTGGACAAAATACCTTTTTTAATTAGTTCTTCACTCCTTAAATCTGTTAATTTCCTGTATATGTGCACTTCGTTGGCGAAGCGTAGAATATAAATTAGGCTCCTTTGTTCATTTTCTAATTTTTTCCCAACTACATTGAATTCGTCAAAAACTTGCTTTCCTCTGTATTAACGAAAAACCAATCTCACACATCACGTTCATGTCTCATATCAAAACAACAATGCAATAATCCTGCTGGCCAACTATGAAAGTTTATATTTCTGTGTGCGTGTGAAACAAAAGTTTGTTACATATCAAAATTATATACACATACCATATTTTCACCAAAAAAAATCTCAATCCAATATTGATATTGCAATTTACAAATTGAATGGGTGATCGTGTACACGTACGTGGCGCAATGGAAGGGCATCCCTCGCCATGAATACAGCATTATACAAGGTTACTCATCAAGAGATATATTTACATACATACATAATGTATGCTTTTACATAAAGGACGTTTATGTGGTTACATCATACACTATCTTTACATGACAGTTTGTTGCATGGCTACCACAAAACAACACATACTGCTGACGTCACCAGAGATTAAATACTCCTTAATGGATGCTGTAATAATATAAAATGCACAAAAAAACTGTCACAAATGTACAACTGTAATATATTGATTTCCTATTCATAATAGGGCAGCGGTTGTGAAATTGTAGTGTTTGTGTAATTTACCTTTACTTGAAAAATTAGATAAAAAAGAAGAGAAAATCGTCTGCTATCTCTACTGATCAAATCCGACGACATGTTAAACAAAATGTAATGTTATTGATATGACTGCTTATCAAACATGAAAAGGAATTGTATTTATCGTTAAATTATTTTGTAATCTAATCTACTTTCTTATCTTAGAAAAACGGTTTACGTTATTTTTGACATTGAAAGATATATCACACCCTCTGACAAATCACACATTACCATACTAAAACCTTTTGATAGATCGCAAACGAAAAAATCTAATAGACGAAATATGTTAGGTAGTTTTATGAAGATTAAAGATAGCAATGATACCTAGGATACAGTAGAAACAACACATATCTGAACAGGATACAACAGCAATGGCTTGTAAAGCTTTTGTCTATAAAACACTTGAGAACAAAATATTTTGAAAATTGTACAAAGTGTTGAACAACACAATAACAATAACCAATTGTATTGTTTGAGTAATTGTAACGTATTCTTCATCGCAATAACAGTTTTTGATCTGTTATTACGCTGTTTATTTACATAATGATATCGGAGATTATTCAGAGAGCGTTATTATGTCATGTGACTGTACTAAACGAGGTATTAAGTACTTGTTTCATATATATGGACATTCTTATTACCTTACACATTACACAATACACATCATCTTATTAAAAAACAAAATTGATCTGATACAAATGATCCAAAATCTTATACAAAAGAAGCAATAGGAAAGAGATACAATTGCCTGTAAAATACCACTAAATCACGTCTATTTTGTTAACAATCTTGATACTATTAACAACTTACCAATGATTACGGATGATATAATCACCGGGTGTAATACAGTCAAACAATATAACGCCTGTATTTCTTTGATATAAAGGAGATACACACAGGACAATAGTACTATTTATCAAACAAATGATTTGAGGATCACTGTCTAATTGCACTGTGGTTTTGCCGATATACATTAACCTCCTATTAACTTCCGTTTAGATATAAGTGCAGCACTGTTGGTGCTGACCACTTCCGTAGATTGGATAGTATAATCAGCTGGAACGATTGTATAACAATCTGTTAGTTCTTCTTAAGAATTTCTCATAAAAGGCCTGCAAGGTATGATTGAAATAACAAGCTATGGTCATGCCGGAAAAAAAAGTTTCCAATACTTAATTACAATTTTTAGCAATGGCACGAAAAAATCAATGTATCAAAAGTCATATTCTATTTTACCAAATCTGCGATGAAAAGACTCTTTTTGCTGATCAATAATCATGTATTATTGGAATTGAATTATTCACTCACACTGCTCTTCTAAAAGTCTTCCATTATTGCAAATATAAATATTTGGTCCATGTGTGACTTTTCGTTCAGGAAAACTTTTGTTGAATTAGAGTTCACGCGTGCATGTTCTGTATATATCTACATATTTTCACATACATATACATATCGTTAAAAAAAGGTGCAAGGTTTCAGCTCAAGAACCGTCCATTTGAGATAATAAGTCTAGGTCTAGGTCACGTTGTCTTATAAGCAATGTCGTACTCAGAAAAGTAGACTGAGTAACATTTTCTATAGAAACTATGTCAACAACGTTAGTTCTTAATGAGGAATAATTTTGCGGGTATGGAAAGACAAAAAAGGCCTTCCTCACCCTAATGAGACATTCCACCAAAAAACACACACATACGTTCAATATTTCTAAGATTAAGTTTTCAGCTGTTTACAATATCACATTGATATTTTCGATCCTTAAAAATATGTTGACCTACATATCTTTTCAACTTTCCTCAATAGCCTTTACAACTGGAGCCTTAACTGCTAGATAACGACTTGATGTTTTGTTTTACATATTTTTACTTCTTCCATAGTGTATGGCACAACCATACCTACTATTGTATACGTTAAGCATCCTTGTTTGTTTGTTTGGTCAGACGGTACTTGAGTTAGCCATTGTCGACTTCGTTGTCTGTGACGTTGTGTTGTCACGTGACATGTTCTTGCTACAGCAAAGGGTAAAATAACGCTTTAAAACGCGTTTGTTTAAAACAAAACTGACAAACACAAACAATCCTTGACAAACGGTGAAAAATACAACAAGGAAACTAAATGCTGACACACTAAATAAGGTGTCGATTACCAATAAAATCCAGGTTATACCTGTCAACGAAAATAATTTAACATAAATGACAAAATCGTTTCTTTTCTCCTGTGTACTCTCCACTTTCGGAGTTCCTTTTATCTTTAAAGCAGTTCGCGTAAAGAAATAGATATTGCTAATACAGATGAGCAGTACAGGCACTAGAAAAGTGGTATAAAAAGACACTTTGTTGCTTATGAAACATCTTGTATTTCCATAACCAATCCCTCCCTCTTCGGACGTACTAGACAGAATGATGATGTTTATAACAATTACTAAAGCAGGTAGGCCATGAGAGTAAAGCATGTACGTCATTATTCTCTTTTTCCAGCTGCCTGTCTGCCGTCCAGACATCAGTTCGCCAGCGAATACACTGTACATATGAAATGAACACACACTCATGCAAGTAAAAGTTGAGAGCCAAAAGAAGTGTATGAAGATTCCTATTGTTCTGCAAAGTTCGGTAATTGAGGTCTGATTAAAACCGACTTGAAACAACAGTTGGGCAAAGAACATCATAACTACCAGATTCATGTTATTGATACCCGGTAGAGATCGCATAACAGGAAACAGACAATAAGTCATAAATGTCAGAAAAAGACAAGCCAGAGAGACAATTGTACATATCAGTGTTACTATCCCGAGTGCTATATTGATTTCTGGTTTCGTTTCATCCGTGTTCAAATAATTTTCATACGTTTCTCGAAAATCATCCAAGCATATCCTTGCTTCATTGCCAACTAAAAGGTACTCTAATGAATTAAATGACCTTCTAGATTTATCCAGGGTAAGACTCATTTCTATTCTGTTTATTGCATAATCCTGTGACTGTAAGACAACATGAGTGCAAAGCAAGAGGTCAGACACAACTGCTGGACGGAATGTCTGCTGAAAAGTGAAGTCCCGGGGTTTGGTCTCTGTCTTGTAACATTGACGCGTAAAACTTAACGTTCCAAGAACCGCTGGAAGGATGAATGCGTCAACAGAATGGTCCGCCGTCAGGTACGTGCTATTGTCAATATTATACTTCATCCTTGTCATATTAATGAGTTTTTCTTCTGCCATGAGTCGGTTCACCTTTGTCACAATCAACAAAGAAGCATGCACAAGAATTCGAATTCCTATACTTCCATTGTAATTTGCATCACATGAAATATTTAGTGCAATATGGAAATAATCGAAAGTGATATATCCATCCATAGAATGGATCTTTGATTTTATTTCTGTTCTGACAGTTATCAACAAAAGATCAGGTGAAGTGGTGGATGAGTTACCCTCCAACGAAAATGCTAACACGTATCGCAGATTTTTTGTATTTTTAAGCAAAGGTCGGCATTTCTTTTCCACAAGCGTTTTTCCAGGGAAACATGTCAGGTTGTGTTTCCTGTTCTGTAAACATAAGCAAATGATTTTGTAGAGAATATGTTATTTACATATAAATTATAAATTGAAGTGAAACTTTCTTTGATATTTCGACTAATACGTAGTTATTGATTAACCATATGACAGGAAAACTGTCATTGATAGTAGGGAATCATTTTTGGAATAGGGTAAAAAATGCTACTATATTGTCAAAATAAAAATATTATAGCACAGAAGTACATCAAAAACAATATTATAATAATGATTTTTCTTTCAAGTCATTCTGAAATCAGAGAAAAGTGACTACCAGTTGCTTCTTTTCATACTTAGATCATCCTCGATACTCCAGAGGTTTCGCTAACGTTCGCTCTCTGTACCCCTGGAGTATGTCATAGGAAAATTGAAGGCTCAGTGTGCGCCACCTTGTGGATGAAACGATAAAAATAGTTCGATTCTTTGATGGAAATCCAAATAATCTGTCGGCTGCGAAACGGTAAAATTGACTGGCTTTGAAGTCGGGTGTGGCTCCTCTGTTACCTTCAAAAGACAGGTATCAGCCTTCGCGATATTTCATGCTTTCTTTAACTTGAGACAAATCAAATAGCTAGTCGCGTGTCTTCAATTTCGCTATGTCATATTCCAGGGGTGTGGAGAGCGAAAGTGAGAGAAACCTCTGGAGTATCGATGACAAACATAAATATTGCCGAAAATTCCTAACACGATTCCCAGTCGTTGTAGCTTTAAAGCATAATTAACCTATGTATGATTTATTGTATATACGAGTGGTAGTTAATGATTTGTAAAGTGTCCTTGTTGGACTGAGGAATATATTCTGGCATACAACAAATACACGCCAACTACATACAACCCTTTAAGCAGTTCCTTATACAGTGTGTATGCTGTTTCTAACTACAGGTGTATCGTATATGATGTCCGATGTTTCCTGCTCACATTCGACTTAATTTTCTGTATTTTATGATAATCAGGTAACACAGATATACATTGCATAAGACATATACAAATGCAAATTAAATTAAAACACATAACCGAACTGTCGCTAAAATACTTACATTTAATCTATCGTAGATAACATTGTCGTCATTCCCTACTTCCAACACTTCCAATTCTACAGACACCGATGGACTGGTAAAAGAAAATAAGTCCTGGTAACTTGTTTGTACAATCACATGATCATCATCAACGTGTACAGTATGTCGTCCACCCATGGTGATACTTGGGAACCAGATATCTGGTATAATCGTCGCGTTAGCTACTGAACATGTCGCACAGAATATATTCCGAAATGGTTTAAATCCGTGTACTTCTGGCAGTGTTGTACATGCTGTGGTAATGTTTTCCCCGTACCACTGATTTTCTGCTGAAACCATACATGTGTCTACCGTTGTACCGGTTATAGATGAGGTCGATGGTCTGTTACACATAAAGCAGTACACATTTTTAAAATCCCTGTATTTTGGTAAAAATAGGTCCAAACTTTCACAAGCTAGCGCAATGTCCTTGTCGTACGCCGACCAAAGTCCAGTAACATTACATCTACTGGTATTGTAGTGATTACTACAGTAAATTGAGCTCATTTGAAACGCGAAGTTGTTCGGATTCTCTGGTATCATCCGAATTACACAGTTGCTACGCTGTGCGTGTTCAATTATGTCCATTACTTTAATAAAGTAATTGAAATGTTGATAGGAGTCGCATTCTATTTGAAAATTCCAGTGAGATGTAAGGTTTTGGGCAGGTTTATTACATCTGAAACAATCAAAGTTCTTGAAAATGGTATCTCCAGCAGTAACTGGAAGCATACCAAATATATCTTTCGCGTTTCGACTGCTGCATCTAGATCTGATTGAGTTTTGTCCTGGTATGTCATTACACCCGCTGATTGCGCCAATTAATGGGGCAAAATGATCTGAACCTGATACATCGCTGTCCAAACACGACGTTGTGCTGTTGAGGAGAAAGTCATGGCAACAAAATGGTGCTGAGCTGCTAAAAAGGCAGCTTTCGTCGCATGAACATGGCGAATCTACAAAGAATCCTCCGGGAAATTCTGCGGAACAATAAGAATTTGTGCCAAACATGGCATAATGAAGCAAAATAAGCCTGGTGTGGTTTAGAGACGTTGAGCTGTTTAGATGTGTCGCGACAAGATCATTATCTGTTATCCCAGTAGACCCTAGGATGTCATTGTAATAATCTAAAGCATACTCGAGTATACGAATTCGGTAAATAAAGGGTCGGAAATCAGTTAATTCAATAATTGCATCGGCATCGTCATACCGGAACCGGCTGGTGTTGTTTCGGTTACATAGAAAGCAAAACACATTTTTGTAGGGCATTGTGCTTTGTGTTGCATTAAGTTTGACACACTCATTCATTAGTGAAGCTTCGTATAGTGACCATGAACCAGAAACATTGCAGGAAGTTACAGGTTCGGTAGATAAAACGGGGGGATTACAAAGTAAACAGAACACGTTTTTATATGTTTTATAGTTAAGATGGTAGTCAGATAGACATGCATTCGCTATGTCTCTGTCGTATGTGAGCCAGGTCCCTGTGACATTACATTGATCTATAGGAAAAGGCTGCTGGAACTTTGTGGGCTTACACTTGTGCTTACTAGACTCCTGATCCTCTTCATACTCTACTTTGCAAGCTTCTGCAGTTGCGTAATCCATGATTTCTCCATAGGTGGAGAGAAAATTAAAATCGGCAAACTTTTCACACAAAATATTAATACCCCAGCTAAAATAATTGAAGACGCCGTTACATTCCGCACAATACTTATTACGAAATGTGAATGCATAATTAGCCGATGTTACAGGCGGATTTTGAATGAGCTGGGCATTAGTAAAATTCATGTTACACTTCTCTTTCATTTCATTTGATGATTCGTCATGGCAAGCCACGATTATATTACTTTGATTGTTAGGATTGAGTAAGTTATCGATTATGGACGTATTTTGACAAACCGGATCCGGAAACGAAAACATAATATCCGGGCAACAATCTCCTTTTTGAACACAGTGTTTGTTGCAACTGCATCTCGGGCATAATTCCAAATCACCTATCGGTTGATGGTTCCTGATGAAACCATAATTCTGTTTTTCACATATGTATTCTGAACCACAAACTAAATAATACTGGTACACTAGATTCGTCAGATTATTGACCGTTCTCGTTGACGATGCTTGCGTATGCCATCCCGGAGTCTTTTGTTCCTGTTTACTTGACGTATCCAATGCACTTAGTGTATTAAAAAAGGTCAAGCACACTAATGCAATCTTCAAGAATTCTGTTTCCATTTGAACGGTATTTCGCACTATTACACCTGTGAACACAAATCAGAATGCTATTAGCAATAGACATCTATCATAAATGTTTCACGAAAAAGACCTAACAATTGCAAAACATCACAGTATTTTGTGAATAAACATTACTCTATATCAGATACCCCTACTCACTTATAAACCCAATTATAAGAGATATAGTCCGCGGTAGATGTTAATAACTATTTCTTGTGCACCTTCTATGCGTAGTTTTTGTGTTGTAATTTATACATTCTGACGTTTCATTCAAATTCATTTCAAATGATGTTTTTGTGAATACAAACATATTCATTAGACGTTTAGTAGATATGTTTTGAAGATAAAATACTTAAGCCATAAAAAAGGCAAAGAGACGTTCACGTTAAAGCATCCATAGACATGAAATTAAAGTAAATAACTTCGTTTTTAAGCGTGACTAGATACATTTTGACATGTTGGATCTCTGATTGAATTTATAATTTACATCGGCAATAAGTAGCATATCACTGTTTGTAAAGTCATATCTGAGTATTATAATATTCAAATTGAACTAAATATTTATCAAAAATAAATAATCATTGGATGCGCATGCATTATGGTAACATCTATAACGACAGTGAGACAATGTTGGACAGAGAAAATAGCTGATTATTTTCCCAACATTTTCGTTTCCCGAGACATATTTTCTATGATTATATCCTACTTACAAATGTAGTTAAATGTAATGGAAATCCCTTTAATCGTCTACCCCAGTGTCCATACGCATATTAATAACGAAGGTGACATTGATAATATAATTATCTAAATAAGGCTGCTTTTTTTTGCTTGTATGTCTTCTTTTCACAAGATGTTACGCGTTTATTTATGAATCTTACCCTGTTTTGTCTATTTGACCTAGATATATCGGGGAAGAGTTTTGCATTTTCAGTCACCATATGGTCGACACACGAAAAACAATAACCACTAGCGTCATGATTTATATTAGATATTTATTTAAATAAACCAAAACTACCAATATATCCACATCGCTCGTCAGCTCATGAATCAGCATTCGTTAGGATTGCAAGCACGTTTCAAGTTATCTTCGCGGTAATTTCGGCGGAAAGTTTTGACCGTAAACTTTTTTTTAAAGTAGATCGTGAGGTTAACTGACAACTTTAATTGTTTGTAAGCTAGGAATCTTTAAAAACAATCAAAATTTAATCGGCGTATGTCCTCATTCGGCCAGTCCCATGGTTCGCTTGTTTGCGGGGGAGTTTTTTGGACGTTGCTTTTTACACCATGCACCTGCATGGTCTGTTGGGAAATGATACATGCACGCGCATGGTCGATAAATAACACCAGGTTAGTAACATGTACCAATGAAAAAATGTCGTTTGAACAGGGAAAAGTATTACAAGTAAAAATAGGATAAAACATCCTTCAAGATAATCACTGAAATACCGACTGGTGATATCTGGTCATCGTAACCGGTGCCATGTGTACTTATATATACCAGGGGAAACAGCACGAAATGTTACTGACTGACCTTTAACATTATGTATAATATCAAAGATAATTCGACAGCTGGAGTGGAGCAATGAATGCCGTGCTTTAAATATTTGTAAACGCCATACCGTAATTAGTGAATAAACCTCGGGATCTAATATTTCTTTGCAATTCTACAAACTTGAAAACAGACAGCTGGTATTTGCCTTACCTGGTTAAATATCTATTTATACATACAAATATTATCCATAGATAGATAGATAAACAAATCAATAGCTCTGTGCCTAATGCCGACGGGAGTCCTAGATTGTTACTATGGTGACCGATGATTTGAAATTGTGCGGACATAAACTTTTTTAAATATATACAATATGCGGTGTTAGATGCCAAAAAAACATCAACTTTTAAAAATGAAAGGAATATCAAGTGTTGGTTATTAAATTCTAGATATATATTTTTCGTTTCAACAAAATCAGCTGAATGGCAGAAGTTGTACATTTGAAGTTTGTGTGTAGGCTGGAGTTCTCGCTGTTCCTTTTTATGGTTTTCTGTCCGATACTAATATCAAAAGGAATAAATCTACAAAAAGTGTTGTAACTTTTTTTTATTGTAGTTCACCGTAACGTAAATATATGAATTGAATGGATTTGTTTCATGTACAATGAGGCATCAATAGCAGTAGCTGATCTACATATCTTCCGAGGAGTGCTAATGCGCTCCACATGATATGTAAATCAGCTACTGCTATTCATTGCCGCAATGTACATGAAGAAAAATCCATTCAATCCCTATATGAATAAGATAAGAAAAAACACCATACAATTTGAATGCAAGTCACGCACAATACCGTATACGAAACTATAAAGCATTTAATTACGCGCATCGTCAAGATATGTAAATAGATAAAATAGCAGTCCGTCTAAATACGGAGAGAAAACTACTTATCTCAGTTTCGCTGAACCGATTTCTATGAGCTCATACTAAAATTAACATCAACTTCATATTTAATGGTGTGTTTTTTTAAGTCAACACATTCATGATATATACCGGATTGCCTTTTGCTGCCCACTGTTTTTTTGAGAGACTGAAAATCCCATGACTGTTCATGTTTGTAAACAAAAACAAACTCTCACTACAGAATTCAGCTCATGAAGAAAAACAAAACACTTATAGCGGATGTGTGGGCGAAGGGGATTTTTTTTTAACATCAACCGCAAATGTAATATAACGTCAGTTTATAATGAAAAATTACGTCAATCAATTGTTTTCAACGAAGGGATAGAAACATCCTCCCTCAACCGGAAGTGATAACAGTTTCATTGATTTAAATGAAAATCTTATGCATCGTATATTATATAATAAATATCATGTATTCATGTAAACATTGTTTAAGACATGATATATACATATACAAATATGTATTCATTAGCTATAATCCAAACATTTTTATTTTAGCGCACTCAAATTCTAGTGTAATATCGAATTTTATCATGTTAGCGCATAGATGAATTGGCGCACCCTCAAATATATAACAATATGCGGGAACCTCAATTGGCGCAATCATAATTTAGCACAAAATTGAAGGCAAACAAGCACTAACATAAGGCTACCGCTTAAATTAAAGTATTTCATTTTATGTTAGGTTTATAACTTCAGTAATTCATCCGGAGTCGTGCACATAACCACCGTAATTCAGTTTTGTTTACTTTATTATAATTAAATGACCAAGAAACATTGAATAGGTTGCTCCCATGTATAATAATTAGACAGAAATAAACCCAGAGTGAACAAATCAAAGGATTAAGGGTAGTATACATTGAGCGCGACATGTTAAGAACATTTTGTCAACAAAAAGATTGCGAAGTACAAAGCTATTTTTGTTTTCCATTTTAACTTTTAAACCCACCAGCTTCCTACCTAAATTGTAATTCCACAAAATGTTCCTTTTTGTAGCTTTGAATCTGACATCATAATAAGCACGTTTGAGTGACAATGAATTCAGGCACAACTTATCTGAGATCTAATCATTTGCATTAAACTATGTCATAATTGGCGAAATACACCATTTTATTTATGAACGAATGCATATGTTATCTGAGCTGCACCAGGGTTATGTATGAACATGTATTATGTGTATATAAATACACAGTCAAGTAAAGGACTGAAGTCCAGGTTGTGTAGCGCCACCTGGTGCAGACGTATATATTCCGCTAATTGTAAATAATAAATCATATGCAGCATCTATGTAGAGACCTAATCAATTTGCAAATCAACTCCAAGGCGCTTTACAGGAAATGAATAATGATTTCACAAAGTACATATAAATATACATAAAAGAAATATATATCTGCACGATACTATTTGAAAGCAGATCGTTCATCTCCATGTGTACATAGGTTGACATGGTATTTATTGGATGTTTACACTAAAGTTTCTAGTTGTTCTGGTCAATTCCTAATGTGTCAGTTTCTAACGTCAAATGTTATATATTAAAAGTATTTTTATAATCATTTCTAGATGTCATTTTAATTTCAATCCGATTGACAATGGATTTGTGCTTTGTTTAATTTTTTTACGGAGTCCTGTATAAAGCACTGTAAATTGTATTTACTTCCCCGGAATGTATACTACAACAGCTGAGTAAATGATATGCTGAATCAGGAAACACATATCGGAAGCTGGCCAATACAAACAAGTGTGACATCAATTCAGTCGGAAAAGGTGTAAAACGTGGTTATCAGTATCAAGGATATACGAAAATATGCAATAGAAATACAATCCTTTAAACACCGGTTAAGTCATTGATAGTTTAAACACGAATATGCAACTTCACTTTAATTAACGATGTGTGAATATGGTTTGCTATTTATATAATGACAATGCATATCAGTAGTTGTAAATTTATAAGAATTGACCTTCATTTTGACAGCTTATACGGTAGTATGAATGCTGTTGGCAACGAGCATATTATATGATGCGCATTAGCCTGTTATCCCTTAAAACTGTATTTACATTCACAAAATATTTTAAGCACTCAAAGAAAGCTGGTTTCTACAATGGGAACTACAATAGCCTTGGTTGCTAGGGTACATGTAACATAGTTCCAGTGAATCCCTTCGATATATTAATACATTCAGAAAATACACAAGGAACTGTTCTTCTGCTAATAGCTTGAACATTTTAAATTAGTTAATCTGAATAGCCTATGGAACATAATTATTCATTTGTAATAGACGTTAAGTAGGCGCATTAACACACTGCTCTTCTCGGTCGAGAGTTCCATAACGAAGCCGCCGTTGTTCACTTTACCGTCAAAGAAATTGGAATATGCATCCATGGAATAAGAAGTACGTGACGTTAATTAGACATTTGGGATCCCGAATATGTTCCATGTTACCATATACTGAAGAACTCAAGCTATGGCTGTCATCAGACTGTAAGTTCAATGAACCGTGAACGGTGCCATATTTGAAATAAGTACATGCATCAATCCGCCGAGCCTTCCTTCACTGCGTACACGCTACTGTATACGTAGTTCGAACTAACTAAGAGAGATGGGTATATTTTTAATCGGAAAATCGTTATATACTCTATTAACTACTATACTAAGATCCACAAAACCCGTTTTTAAAAGAGACTTTCTTTTCAAAACCATGGATGTCCGTGACCACACATATCGAGGGTAGCCTAGAACAGTGTTTGTAGCACTATTAAATGTTATACAAACTTTTTTTGCATGTTTTCTTATCAATGAAACAGTCAATATTTTCATTATTCGAATTTCTTTGTGCAACGGCAACGGAATTTACTCTAACTTCATTAAAATACGTAAACATACACTGTACGCTAAACAATTACATCTACCAAATCTATACAAATGTACTGATAGTATAATGGCTCAGAACATACATAATTTAAAAAATAACACTTGGATTTTTTAGCTTGTCATTAACTACCACGACACGTGACCGGACCTTGTACTGAAGTATGCTCATTCACGAATTCCTTGCTATTTAAAGATATATCAAACATCAATGCTTTCTCAATTTTTGAAGGCATCACGTGTTGTTTATCTCAAACAGGATGAAACGACTGACCTTGACATTTCATTAGTGAAGTGTATCTTTTTAAGTACATCAATTAATTGGCGAATGTTTCTGAGAGTAAAATTGGATCGCGTACTAAGTCCGATCCTCTCAAACTGACACACAAACAGCTGCGATATTACGAGATATATGATAAGACTTACTTCGGTTTCAAGTTTGACTTAGTGCATGACTGTTTACGAGTGAAGATTCAACAGAACGAGGGCAAGTAAAACACATTTAACCCGTGAAAAGAACTACTAATATGTGCTGTTACATTCTAATACAAAACTCAATTTATATTAGCCCAATTCCCATGTGCAGTATCTTCTTTTGTAATCGTGATTATAGCTGTAGTTTTTTAACCGGATTGAGAAGTGATATCTTTATCATTATTTCATATTTTTTAATTTAATCAATATGATTAAAAAAGAGAATATACTCAAGATATGCTTAAAATTTAAATCGTTGCAACTGTATTTTAAAATTTATTTCAATATATACCGCTTTAAGAAACTGTTACCATGATATATCAGCCGTTTATCCGGTACAGAGTGAATCATAAAACCAAAAGGTAAAACAGAGCTGTGTAAGTCTATATCGACAGTGGAGCTGTGTAAGTCTATATCGACAGTGGAGCTGTGTAAGTCTATATCGACAGTGGAGCTGTGTAAGTCTATATCGACAGTGGAGCTGTGTAAGTCTATATCGACAGTGGAGCTGTGTAAGTCTATATCGACAGTGGAGCTGTGTAAGTCTATATCGACAGTGGAGCTGTGTAAGTCTATATCGACAGTGGAGCTGTGTAAGTCTATATCGACAGTGGAGCTGTGTAAGTCTATATCGACAGTGGAGCTGTGTAAGTCTATATCGACAGTGGAGCTGTGTAAGTCTATATCGACAGTGGAGCTGTGTAAGTCTATATCGACAGTGGAGCTGTGTAAGTCTATATCGACAGTGGAGCTGTGTAAGTCTATATCGACAGTGGAGCTGTGTAAGTCTATATCGACAGTGGAGCTGTGTAAGTCTATATCGACAGTGGAGCTGTGTAAGTCTATATCGACAGTGGAGCTGTGTAAGTCTATATCGACAGTGGAGCTGTGTAAGTCTATATCGACAGTGGAGCTGTGTAAGTCTATATCGACAGTGGAGCTGTGTAAGTCTATATCGACAGTGGAGCTGTGTAAGTCTATATCGACAGTGGAGCTGTGTAAGTCTATATCGACAGTGGAGCTGTGTAAGTCTATATCGACAGTGGAGCTGTGTAAGTCTATATCGACAGTGGAGCTGTGTAAGTCTATATCGACAGTGGAGCTGTGTAAGTCTATATCGACAGTGGAGCTGTGTAAGTCTATATCGACAGTGGAGCTGTGTAAGTCTATATCGACAGTGGAGCTGTGTAAGTCTATATCGACAGTGGAGCTGTGTAAGTCTATATCGACAGTGGAGCTGTGTAAGTCTATATCGACAGTGGAGCTGTGTAAGTCTATATCGACAGTGGAGCTGTGTAAGTCTATATCGACAGTGGAGCTGTGTAAGTCTATATCGACAGTGGAGCTGTGTAAGTCTATATCGACAGTGGAGCTGTGTAAGTCTATATCGACAGTGGAGCTGTGTAAGTCTATATCGACAGTGGAGCTGTGTAAGTCTATATCGACAGTGGAGCTGTGTAAGTCTATATCGACAGTGGAGCTGTGTAAGTCTATATCGACAGTGGAGCTGTGTAAGTCTATATCGACAGTGGAGCTGTGTAAGTCTATATCGACAGTGGAGCTGTGTAAGTCTATATCGACAGTGGAGCTGTGTAAGTCTATATCGACAGTGGAGCTGTGTAAGTCTATATCGACAGTGGAGCTGTGTAAGTCTATATCGACAGTGGAGCTGTGTAAGTCTATATCGACAGTGGAGCTGTGTAAGTCTATATCGACAGTGGAGCTGTGTAAGTCTATATCGACAGTGGAGCTGTGTAAGTCTATATCGACAGTGGAGCTGTGTAAGTCTATATCGACAGTGGAGCTGTGTAAGTCTATATCGACAGTGGAGCTGTGTAAGTCTATATCGACAGTGGAGCTGTGTAAGTCTATATCGACAGTGGAGCTGTGTAAGTCTATATCGACAGTGGAGCTGTGTAAGTCTATATCGACAGTGGAGCTGTGTAAGTCTATATCGACAGTGGAGCTGTGTAAGTCTATATCGACAGTGGAGCTGTGTAAGTCTATATCGACAGTGGAGCTGTGTAAGTCTATATCGACAGTGGAGCTGTGTAAGTCTATATCGACAGTGGAGCTGTGTAAGTCTATATCGACAGTGGAGCTGTGTAAGTCTATATCGACAGTGGAGCTGTGTAAGTCTATATCGACAGTGGAGCTGTGTAAGTCTATATCGACAGTGGAGCTGTGTAAGTCTATATCGACAGTGGAGCTGTGTAAGTCTATATCGACAGTGGAGCTGTGTAAGTCTATATCGACAGTGGAGCTGTGTAAGTCTATATCGACAGTGGAGCTGTGTAAGTCTATATCGACAGTGGAGCTGTGTAAGTCTATATCGACAGTGGAGCTGTGTAAGTCTATATCGACAGTGGAGCTGTGTAAGTCTATATCGACAGTGGAGCTGTGTAAGTCTATATCGACAGTGGAGCTGTGTAAGTCTATATCGACAGTGGAGCTGTGTAAGTCTATATCGACAGTGGAGCTGTGTAAGTCTATATCGACAGTGGAGCTGTGTAAGTCTATATCGACAGTGGAGCTGTGTAAGTCTATATCGACAGTGGAGCTGTGTAAGTCTATATCGACAGTGGAGCTGTGTAAGTCTATATCGACAGTGGAGCTGTGTAAGTCTATATCGACAGTGGAGCTGTGTAAGTATATATCGACAGCAGAGCTGTGTAAGTCTATATCGACAGTGGAGCTGTGCAAGTCTATATCGACAGCAGAGCTGTGTAAGTCTATATCGACAGTGGAGCTGTGTAAGTCTCTATCGATAGTGGAGTTGTGTAAGTCTATATCGACAGTGGAGCTATGTAAGTCTATATCGACATCAGAGCTGTGTAAGTCTACATCGACAGCAGAGTTGTGTTAATCTACTCGACAGCAGAGCTTTGTAAAGTCTATATCGACAGCAGAGCTTTGTAAAGTCTATATCGACAGCAGAGCTGTGTAAGTCTATATCGACAGTGGAGCTGTGTAGGTCTATATCGACAGTGGAGTTGTGTAAGTATATATCGACAGTGGAGCTGTGTAAGTATATATCGACAGCGGAGCTCTGTAAGTCTATATCGACAGTGGAGCTTTGTAAAGCCTGTATCGACAGCAAAGCTATGTAAGTTTATATACAGAAAAAAGTAAAAATATAATATATAAAACAAAAAAACAGAAAAAGCCGTACCTAAATCACTTTATCATAACCATTCTCTAAAGCTATTGTTCTCATATCAAATGTTACAGGGTCTGTATTAAGCACTTGTTAAAAGTATAAACAATGTAGTACCGCCCACATAGTAGTTATGTCCCTAGATTTGTTTAACTATTCATATTAAAATAAAATATAGATTTTTTCTTTTTTAATTTGATATATCTATTAGCTTTTGTGCTCCTGATGGCAAATATTTGATTTAGGTATAAAAAAGTAAATAAATTGCATATACTTACCAGATATATCATCACGACGTTCCCTGACATCCGAGTTTTCCGTTGTGCTATGCAGTTTGTGTTTAAGTAGAATTTTGAACGCTCACACCCACTCACACACATACGCAAGAGCGTGCTGTAAACTATGGACTACACGGTAAACGATCACTACTCTTTTCAATAACAAGTGCAGCATTGTATATACACCCACACTGCGGTTGTTATATACTAGATAAACATTAAAGCAATGTGTCACAATACGCGTACATAAATCGGCCGTATGAATAAACACACAAAATGCTTGAATTGTATAATAAAATACATAGGGCGCAAGAAACTCGAATTAACTCCATTTTTGAATAACTCAGGTAAAAGTTGATGTTCGAGGAACTTGACAGATAAAATAACTTGCCGTCGATACCTGCTGTACGTGTTAAGTATGGCAGTTACTGTTGCCTTTGAGTGTTATCTAGCAAATACAACGTTCCTTGTGAGTGATGGTTGGGCATCATGCTTATGTAATGGATAATGACCGAAACCTGGGATTTCTTCTGAATACAACAATTCTATTTGTGGAAAACGTTTGTCGAACAGGACATTTTTCATGATAGCATACATGCAAGGCTTAATATTTATCTTCAATTTTGGATGCAAAAGTAACTGATTTCAGCCTCATATCTATGGTAATAGGGCATATCCAAAACATTTACATTTAATTATTGTTTGATTTTTGTGTACATCTTTTAAAGGTGATTTAGCAGTGAAATCCCAGGTTTCGGTCATCATCCGACTTATACCAATATGCTCTTTGGTAAATACCACTTGGAAAATAAATACCAGCCGCCACGGTTCACCAGTTACGCACGCTTTGCAATGTGTGGAACGGCATAAAACGACTGCTCCTTCCCGTAAACAGCCGAGATGTTAGATTGCAATTCGCTCTGAATAAAATATAAACCTGAATAATCAATTACTGAAAGGGCACCACTGCATTAGTAGTTATCGTGATGAAGATTTCTATGTCTGAGCTGAATCTTTTTTCGACGGGCAGTGTATAAATCTCGAGTTCGATCCCTTTAACTTTTGTTCCTTTTTATTGCGTTTTTGTTTTACAACATTTCTATTTGTGGAAAACGTTTGTCGAATAGGACATTTTTCATGATAGCATACAAGCAAGGCTTAATATTTATCTTCAATTTTGGATGCAAAAATAACTGATTTTTGTGTACATGTTTTAAAGGTAATTTAGCAGTGAAATATTTAAAAGTGTTTTTTAAAAACGTATTTAATCAAATTGGTTTTTAAATTGTAGAAATATTCATCTAATTAGAATATTAGAAACAATGAAATAAAAATGATGATCCGTCTTTGACGGGATTCGAACTCAGTTCAGATGACTTGTGATTGTCATGAGACACGACGTCACGTGGTCCTAAGTCAGATATTGGATTCGTATGAGGGTTAAATTTACCAACGGGTGAACGAAAGTGTTGTTGACGCAAATCCAATCGTCTGTACAGAAAAGGAGACAGAAAATGCAGAAAACACCAAAGTACCGGATACATGGATACTACATTGTAGTACTGCTGACATGGATATTTTCTTCGGCGCAGGTAAACTTCGAAAGAAATTAATATGATATATGATATTGTCATCCCTTTGTTTTCGCTTAATTATTTAACATGAATAATAATAGCTGCTATTTTTTGCTTAAAAATCTGTCAAAATTACCGCGTCTGTCCGATCACCATTGGCACATAATAATTGTTTGGTTATAAATGTACGGAACACATATATATATGTTTGTACTCTAAATCAGAGGGAGAGTCATCAGCCGTTAAAAGTGATTTTTTACATTCTTTTTCCCACTGGATCAAAACAGTTATATTAAACAATGAATTCACTTCCATTCGATGAAATACTCTGATTATTCATTCAATCATAATTTATGAAATTCGTTTCTCGACTGTTTTCTTTAACTTTTTTAATCATTTATTATGTGTCAATGATACATTATCAGTAGCGAAATGTCTTACGTACACTACATACTCGTAACTTTACTATCAAAACCAATGTCACTTCAATGTATTGTACTCCTGTCCTGTATTATCTGTGTGTGTGTGTATGTGTGTAATTATTTACATATTTGTTTCTTTCGCAGCTACGGAGGACATGAAGTGAACAGAGTATGATTTGATGGTTCTGAATAAACACAGATAAAATATTTTTGAGACCGAAGCAGCAGCCGGTGTTAGCTCCAGTGACACTATTTTTTTGCCATTAAGCATTTAAACCACATGATGGTGACATTGGAAACAATGAAAAATTGAAACTAATTATTGTAATTAAAATACAATCAAATTTATTCCTTTCTATTGTTTTGTGTTCTTTTGAATTTTATGTTCAGTTTTTATACAGTGGTGAAGTGTGGAGTCTGTTACGTCATCTACAACTGTATGTAGTCAGGCCTTTGTATGAATAATGCCCACTTTCAGTCAGTGACATGAAAGGCCCATTGTGTTAATAATGCCCAGTTTTGGGGATCACACAAAAGGCTATTGTGTTAATAAAGCCCAGTTCTTTGTAAACATAATACACTCTTCAGCCACGGCATGAAAATACAGGGACACTATGAGAGATAATGTACGTTACAAACAAAAGAGCAATGGCTTAACTAGCTGGTATTACTTGATTTTCAAATTGAATCATAAACGAGATTTTTTAAACCACACGTTTCCCTTACAAAAGAATGTATTTGTGTTCCGATTGTTACGTGACGTAATAATTAAAAGATTGACCAATGAAAACACGTCAGAGTGTATTAAAAACTGGTAGGTAGCCGAAAATGTGTACCAACTCCTAGCAGAATTATTTGTGAGTCGTGGGTCAGGAAACTTATAGTAGTTGTGGGACCTCTTTCTATGCTGAATTTTTCATGTAAAATAGGACTTACATTTAACCGTTGAAGTTACGAACATTTAACAAAGTAACATGTTTACACCCTCCAATACATCCTAGCTTACATTTGAAAATATGGCGGCACCAAAACAGTATCATGTTGAATCCTTTGGTTCTCGAACCCTTGATGTAATTTCCATGAGATAAGACATTTTTGCAAATGATTTACAATACAATGAAAATATTTAAACAGCGTTGATAATGGTCATCTTGACCTTCTCCTCTTTTTGTTATTGTAGAGTGGATATATATTATAACCCCGAAACGTCGACACTCTGGCGAAAATATATTATTTGGTTTTCGAGATATATTGATAAACTTATTTGCATATATGACACTTCTTGCGTTTCCCCCGTAGATGGACTAGGTGTAATATACAGAAGACCTTCCATTTATCCAAGGTAGATGTTCTATATAAGTCATATAGTGAATGATAATTGTGGACAATGGAAAACTGTACACGGTTCTGCATTTCTAGTATGCCATTTAGAACATGAGCACCCAATACAGAATCAACATATGCACTTGGACTGATAATTGTCTGCGAATGTTGAATTTCGACATTTAACATTTGCAGCATTGACTGTGACAGTGGAAGCTACATGACGCTTATCATTCATAAATAATACCAATTATCGGATAGCTACATGACGCTTATCATTCATAAATAATACCAATTATAGGATAGCTACATCACGCTTATTAGCAGTCAGTAATAATACGCATCACGCATCATTCATAAATAATATAAGGATGTATATATAACAACTAAAAAAAGAATTAGAGATATTGCGGGTTTTCTCAAGCGGGTTTGTTAAATGTACCATTCCTAATAATTACAAAAAGTTTATATAATAATACTATTTTTTTGTGAATGACCCTAGCGACTAAACAACGACTGATCTGAGTACATCTTGACTAAATTAGATGAACAGACCACATGGGCTTTGTGAACAATGTTTACTTGCCGAAATATTCACAATTGAAGTTCCAATTTAATCCGCCTTGCTACTTCCAGTCGCCATTTTGTAAACAGGGTCTAATCTCGAGCTGATGCGCGTTTGAAAGAGTTGGAAGTATTGCAAAGCTTCTAAACGATCATGCCCAGAACATACTCTCTAAGGATGATGTTTTTGATAAATTTACTATCAATTATTTACTATATTTCTTTTTTGTATCACTTTCATTAATTCATAAAAGAACAAATTGATTTTTTCCCCTTCAA